CAGGAACTAAGGAGATTTATCCATTTTTGGAAACTGTGTTGCCCCATTTCAGGTTGTGTGTTAGATTCCCACAGGTACTAATTAGCAWTGTTTAGTTGTGAAGCCAAAGGGGCCAAGCTGTCTTCTGATCATGCATTTTACACCTTCAACACTCAAGCATCAGTTTCCCACACTTTTATAATCCCATTCAGGCCAATGTTTGCAACAAACTGTGCATTAATCAAGATGAATGTTAAATTTAAATGAAAAGAAATAATGTTAAATTCAGGGATTGATTTCCTAACAAATGTTTCTGCATTCTCACCAGAATTTTTCTGTTGCTGTCAGTTATTTCCATGACTGGCTTCAGCATGTGTGCTGCTTTATAGTAAATTTCAAGATGCAACAACCAGAAATGCTGACTAATTCATTTGATTTTGAAGAATAAGTACTTTTTATCRTGTCATGTCATGTCATGAGACCTGGAAGCTCAAAAACCAAACTAACAGGGCCCTTAAGAGACACACAGAACAGGACATCAGTTAGGAAGTCTGAGTGAAAGTTTCAGTTCTTGAAAACTGGAAGACAAGCAGCGTCTCCATCTTCATCTTCTACTACTTATCTGTAGTAGGGTCACAGAGGCAAAACATTCAGGAGACCAGGAAACATTAAATTTGGTCTTGTAACATGTGGTAAACTGCTAATTATKTCTTATTAACAAAGGAGAACATTACCTCCAGTTTAATTTTATGCATTGGATTAAAACTGAGCAGTGTGTTCATTTTAACTCTCAGAGTGATCAGTTTMCACACAGTTAGGCTCTGCAGTGCTCTGTTATTGGACCACTGACATAAATAAAGACGAACGAAGCAACACCATCAAATTACATTCTCCAATGTTAAAGCCAAACTGTCTGAATTTTTGAACAGCTGCACACCAGGGGAGCAAGGCTGTAGCCTCAATAATAATAATAATAATAATAATAATAATAATAATAATAATCCATCCATCCATCCATCCAT